ACACTGGAATCATTTTGAATTAAAGTGAATATCCGTGATGATATGTCGTATAGTAGAGGGTAATTATTTTATCTTTAGTCCCTTACATATATATGTTATGTGGGCGATTGCTTGCGTTCAAATGATGTTAAGTTCTACATGTTCTCTTATTTATTTCTGTGGTGTTGTGAATAGCTGTTGTGAAATTATTATGTTGCATATGTTGTGCTTTGCGTGGGGATATTACTTCTTCCCGCCATTGGATATTGTGCCTGTTCCTGTTCTATAGTTCTGTTAGTACTAGTATGTCCAAACGCCATACTAGAAGTACTCTCTGTTGTTCCGAATGCACGCATGAATCCTCTTGACCTTGCATCCAGAGATAACTGCAAGAATTCGCGATATGATACTTTCTGGTTACGATTCCTAATTTATTATCCTGAATCGGACCTATAGGCCTAGGCGTATATATTTTTGGGACTACTCTCTAGGTATATATAATAATTGCTGCTTTCGAAATTGGCCTGAACAGTACATGTCTGGTATCTTCTCGGAGTAACACATATTACAATTTTTGGATTCCTAGCAAGGAGAGGACTAAGTATATCGAACACCATGCTCAGATGAGCTCCGAGGTTCACCCAGCGTTCTATACAATGAAAACTGGGCGATCTTACTCAGAAAATAAAATGGTCGAAATATGAAGCTGACTACTTATCTCCATCTAATGGTGACGTTAAAAACGCGTGGAACTCTACCTCTGTTCCACCCTGCTTCTTCTTTTTCGACGCGGTGCTTAGATGCAGGGACGATTGTTTTTACAGTATATGTTTGAGCTTAAAACATCTGAGGTTGGCCTAACTGCTAAAGTGTGGTGCCCTGAGTTTCGGACTGTATCTGCGTGGGAGGTGCTGAAGTGTGACGCATTTCCGCTATCTGTGATGAGATTCTGCTTTGAGTTCATCGCCATGCAAATAACATCTTGGGAACCAACTTAAAGAGGCAGAAAGCACCAACAAGCCTGCTCCTTGATAGTATATGTTTTGGGGGGGAATTTCGTAACGAACTGTTACAATAATCAATCTATTAGGTTTTGCATAGCAGTCTGTCCGTCCGTCTACCCACATGTCACAACTCGAAACCATGAATTTTGTTTCAAATTGATGAAAATAACACACATGAGGACCTACTAGCATTTCTGTGCACACTTCGAGCATAACACAGAATATATTTATCATATTCGAAAAGTTGGATCTGACTTTTCTAAAGCGGCGATTATGACTAAAATGTAACGTCATGCAGTGTGGCAGTTTACTGACGTTTCGGAGGAACGTAGACACTCCTCTGGACAGCTGAATAAGCCGAGAGAGAAGCTAGCAAGAAGCAGGAAGCAAACAACGCCAGAGAAATGAGGGAGGGAGGGAGAGAGAAGCCGCGTAAGTGGGTGTAAGCAAGTGACGGGCGTAAGAAGAGCAAGACAGAACGGGAAGAAGAGGACAGAGGCTGCTGCGGAGGAGTAGCAAGGGACGCTGATGTTTGAGGAATGTCCTAAAAGGATATAGTCGGGACCCTGGGCAGTGTCCCCTGGTCTGTGAGACCGATAGACAACCCGGCCTCGATATTCGTATGAAAGGAGGTTCCCACTTACTTTCAATAGTATATGAGATGTTTCCGCAAATTGCTTAGGCAGAATCTGCCCTTGATATTCGTACTATTGGAATGGAACTCATTCTCAGTCACTTCCATGTGTTTGAGTATACTGGTGTTATGGAGTTGGCTGCGGTCGGCTGCGGTGTCCCAAGAATATGCTGTGCCCCTCCACACTTGCCCCTTTACCAGCTTACCTTCCCCACTTTAAAAGCTTTACCCTCTTTCGAACATACCTCTACCAGAAGTACCAGTGGGCTCTGCCTGGGAACGTTCAAAGCAGTAAAATGTTCACGTCCCTCTCTTATAATATAATGCCTCTTACTACTACCCTTGTACTCAGCGGTTAGTCGCTGGCTTCCCATCGCGGCGGCCCGGGTTCGATCCTGGGTCTGGTCAAGTTGGATTTGTGGTGGACAAGGTGGCGCTGGGGCAGGTTTTCTCCGAATACTTCGGTTTACCCTGCCAATCTTCATTCCACCAATTGCTCCACAATCATCCTCACCTATCATCTGCGGCTGGTACAATAGGCCAGAAGTGGCCGCAGTACAAGGGACTTAGTCCCACCCCACTAGCAATAAAAAAATACTACTACCCTTCCATTTCTCTTCTCCCTCTTCGATGGGACAACTTATATAACTGATACGAAAGGTAAAGTTAAGGTAAAGCTATCCCCGTAACAGGCCGTGGAGGCCCAAAAGATTGTGAGATGTTGAAGCTCCCACATTTTATAGACAAGCGGCTCATATAGGGCCGTGAGGTTGACAGCCTTACGTGCTGGCCGCCTACCCAGGAAGATTCCTGGTACCGACTTCTGTTAGAGGCTTAGTCGCCCCAGGGCCATAGTGCAGCTGGAAGGATTACGGTAAAGGTAAAAAAGTAAAGTTGTCCCTGTGCTTAACTAATTAAGCACTACGCCATGAAGGTGTATGGAAGAGTGGATGTATAGATCACATTTTCTCAACCTTGGCACTAGCTAGAGGTGAGTGGTCAGCTTCACGCCCCGGCCACTTTATCCCTGGAGAAAGAGCAACCAGTACCAGTGGATAGGAGGTTGGGTGAACCCCAGAGCCGGTTTGGACGACATGGAGAAGTGAAAATTCTTGCCCCCCCCGGGACTCGAACTCCGCCCCCTTGGTCGTCCAGCCCGTAGCCAGTCGCTATACGGCCTATGCTATCCCGGCACTCAATTGAAAAATCCAATGACCTCATCGTAGATCGAACCCATGACCTTCCGACTTGCAGCATAGTGCCTCAACGAACTACGGACTATGTTAAACAACGCAATATTCAATATTCACGCTGCAACTTATGTAAGCACTGGGCAGAAACAATCCATAACCAAAGATTCTGTTCCAACGGACTTGTCTGCAAGTTCATACAGATTTCAGTCTCTGATTCACACGACTCTCATGCTAGTAAGGTTGAATGATCAAGCATGCGGTGCCAAGAGCTCGTTCATATTTTCTTTCTGGTGAATTTTTAAGGGGCTTTATCATTCAACCAAAAGATCGAGTCAATGCGTTTATCTGTCAAGTTCCAGTACAAGGCTGTTCTGTCACATCCATCATTCTAAACACGGGTTTTCTGTCTCCAAATACGAGGGTCTTGAGAGGTGTGAGGAAACAGCTTTTCGTCCCAGCTTGAAGTGCTACCTCAGAATTTGTTTGCCCCTCGGCCTTGGTTCAGAAGACACTTGGTTCTGAGAACTATTCGCACACCTAGAATGAAACTGACAAAACTAAGAAACTAACGCTTTATAAGGGCAGTTTGAAGTTTCGCGCGGTTTATGTAAATAAATACATATTACAGACATAGCTGACATCTAGCGGAAGGATAGAAATCATGAAAGTCACCTTACGACAACACGTAAGAATCGATTCTCTGTCCCAAACTACGGCATAAATCATGTCATGACGTCTTCTTCCACACCTTTATCAATTCTTTATTCACTATCATCCTAATATTCAACGATATGTAAACTAAGCTGTTAAGAGCAATGTTACATAAACCGTAATTAAATACGTAGGCATTATTATTATTATTATTATTATTATTGGTGGTGGTGGAAATGGTGGCTATACTAGTGGTAGTGGTAATGTTAAGGGTGGTGCTGCTGGTGATGTGAGTAGCAATTTAACATTAGGCACGTAAATGCTTAATTCCTCATTACTATCTATCATGGCACAAAGCTGTTCTTTCTGCTCTAGAAACAGTCGACCCTCGTGTTCCTGCTTGGAACATACGTAACTTTCGTTGCACATTCCGTCACAAGGCTTCAGTCAGATATGGTTCTGCTGCTGACGTGGTACGTACAGCCGCACGTCATATGAGAACTATTTTTCTTCAAGCATATTAGCTGGCAATATTATTACTTTTATTTATTTTTATAGCTCAGCAATATAGTGACTACAGGAATGACAAGCGGGCTGGATCCCGGCGCTTCCAAACTGGTTTTGAGGATCAGCTACCTCCAATCCAATGGGTTTGGGGGCCCTTTCGGAAGGGGAAAGCCGTTATGCCGACTACCCACCTTCATCTGTATTCGAAGTTAAGTTATACCCTCATTACACTTGCGACTTCATGACGCAGTGCGTAATTAAGCCCGCAGAAAATTATTATTATTATTATTATTATTATTATTATTATNCACTAACTGAATGTTTCTGTCTGAATGTTGCATTGTTTTTGTCTTGTGTTTGTGGTTATGTGTGTGTGTATTTGTTTTGTTTATCTCTTATCTCGTGGTTGCTTTGTAATTGGCCTCAGGGCTATTGAGTAAGAGCGTAAAAAGATAAGGTCCGTAAATAAATAAATAATTAAAGAATTATTATTATTAAAATATAATATGTTCTTTGGAATGTGTATGTAACACAACAAGGTCAAATGCGCTTAATATATGTATATTTTTAATCAACAACACAAATTTCCTTTTACAATTGAACTTCTTTCGGGTTCGAGCGGATGCAGTGAATACTAAACCCGTATACAATTTAGACAACTGGAAAAGCACATTCATAAGTGCTAACGGTCAGCAATTCATTGCAGTGGTAGCCTGAAATTGTGAAACGTCGCAGCTTTTGAAAGTATGAAGGCAAAACCTTTATTTTACCGACATAAGAGCGACATTCGCTTTCCAGTGAGTGGTTCTGTGCCTCGGTTGATGGTTACGCTACTCGCACTTTTCAGCAGGCGAAAAACGCTTAACAGAATTCCGCACATGTACTCGTTAGCATGCAGACCGAGACATGTCAATTTCGGCAGTTCAGTTAAATCAATTCACTGCCATGTAACTGAGTTGAAACTGAACTTAGCCGAGTGTAAGAACTACACTGCTGCTACAATATAATCAGGTTCTGCTGACTCTGACTCACCCCTGACCACTCTCCCGTATTCCATGCTGGGCAGTCCATGAGGTTGCAAGGTTCCTGGTAGCGTGGCTTGTGTCCATGGCAGAGGTGCTCGGGAACCTGAGCAGATAACATCAGTACAGATTCAGATATTACCAACGCCTGAGAGAGAAATTACGTCCAAGCATTAAAGAATGAAAATGAACCCTTTATGTACAAATCATATCTGTGAAATATATGACTGTGTAGGCTCAATATTGTCAAAATTTCGTGTTTGGTAGAATCCTATATATTTAGGCCTTTGTGCATCGACCAATGATAAGTTAGTCGCTTAGTTCGTAATTTTGCACGTACTGAATGCACAGCACTTACGTAATAATAGGCCTAAACATATTAAATTAAAGTTAAAGGTAAAGTTATCCCTGTAACAGGCCGTGAAGGCCAATAGGGTTGTGAGACGTCGAGGCTCCCAAATTTTCTAGACAATCGGCTCACAGATGTCGGTGAGGTTGTCAGCCTTAAACGCCAGCCGCCCTTTACCTCCCCCCCCCCGACCCAAAAAGATTCTTGATAATCATTTCTGTTAGAAGCTGAGTCGACCCAGGGCCATAGTGAGGCTGGAGGGGTTAGAGCAATTAAAAAATCCACCTCATCGGGAATGGAACCCGTGACCTTCCGGTTTGTAGCACAGTGCCTCAACCAACTGCGCTACCGCATACCCCCAAAGCATATAAAATTATCTGATAAATCTTCGAAATGTGACGAGTTGACATATCTGGAAACGAAAACACCTTTAGTAGAATAAAAGACTATTCATGAAGAATTAAGTGCAGGTGGTTTTGCCTTCCTCTTTGATATCTAAAAATAAGAAGATTAAAATGTAAAAAAAAAAGTGGATTTGCCTGATGTTTCCTATGGGTGTGAAACCTGGACGTCATTCTAAGGGAAGGATATAAATTGGGAGTTAAATCGGGAAAAAAACTCGTTTTTGCTTCGTTCAATGAACAATTAAATATTAATGAAATTGTTAAATTGTCTTCCATGAGGCGTAAAAAACATTAATGGTTCTTTGAATTTAAGAATTGTAAACAAAATACATGTTTCTTAATAAATGATATGTAATAATTAAAATAATTCATTTCGAGTAATGACAAATTAAGTCTCCGCTAAGTGTCATGTACAGTCGCGTCTTTCTGCCTAATTCTATGGTCCTATTTGAAGTTATCTTCACCCTTGGGTTCCCACTGAGGGATGGACATGGGCACGGACGTTGTATATTCAATTCCAGAGTGTATTTTATTAAAAGAGATATTTTTAGTGTCTTTGGATGTCATAATGTCAATAAAAATATAGGTTATCAAAATGAATATTATTTGTATACTCAATCTACTATGTTAACAACGGAACGCCGTCGTCATTTAGTGACGTACACCACTACGTCATCATCAGAAAACTGCTATATTCTATTTCCTACACGTAGATTCTAAACGGTTCTCGTGAGAATGTATAGCACTCGGGATTAGTGGACATTCGGACTCTGTCCATCTTCCGGTATTCTAAGGAACACAACATTTCGGAAACGAGATCTTTTTCCGTCCTCAGGCGAGGGAGTGGTAGACACCCACTCCGTTGGGTCCGTTAGAGAGGGCTAACCACAGTCCAGTGATTAAAGTTAGCTCTTGTGTTATGTTCTTTAGAATACCGGCCGATGGAAGAAGTCCGAAAAATACAACAATCCCAACTATTTTCAACATAATTCCGGTATTCGAACTCCGATAACACATGCAAACACATTTACACAGGGTATTTCTTTCGTAAGATTGGCTGCTTACGTTATGAAGTACCCTTATCAGTAGAGTACATGGACTTCGGAAAGAGTATTTTCTATTTTTGTTTATGGCACATCTTTCTTTCCGTGAGAAACTGTGGAAGTAGACAGATGTGAGCATTCATATTTTATCTGAGCTAACAGTGTTGTGAAGATAGGCTGAACAGTCTCCGATAATTTGCAAATATGAACAGATAAAATGTGGGATAAATTGACCAAATTTAAACAAAAGGACATATGAGATTTAAGGTTCTACTACGTTTAATATTTAGATTAAGTGACGCCATGCGGTTTGGTAGACAGACAATTTCAGCAGGTTCGTCAGAAATTATGGTATTTATCCAAACACAACACAACTTGGTCACTTCCCTTAAAATAGTAATCTTTAGATTGGTCATATTTCATTTCATTCTTTTTGTCTGATAAACTCACCCCATAAATATATCTTAGGTTCCTCATGTCTGAACTTTTAACTTTCTTTTTATGGCTTTTCTCCCATCATCCCCATGCGACATCCATACAAAAGGACTGAAACCTAGTTTTATACATATGCCTATGTCCATTTCCTGTGTACCTACAGGGTACAGATTAATCCCAATGTATCTCACACGGAGATGAACTTCGAAATGTTATTAATAATCTCAATTTCCGCTGTTACACGTTTGATTAACTGTTCACATCTGTTCGAGAACTCCTTTGTTTTTCACAGATCTAGTAGGACCAGGCGCTATATTACTACGGTACTGCTCGCCCTTATGTTACACAAATAGGACATAGCTTTCAGTTCTGGACGGTGGCTGCGAATATACTGAACAAGCAGCCGTGGATGCCTGACAAGGCACGATCCTTCAGTTTGGGATTGGGTTATGGCTAGCAACTCTGGCCGCAATAGAGGACCAGGATGTGAGACACAACAGATTTTGATTTGATGGGATAAATTTATTTACAGGTCATCGATTTTAATTATAACTTTGTACTGTGATCTGTAAAATTCCTAGTTTTTTGTGCCATATTTCCGTTTGAAACCGATATCGCCTGACCAACTGTACAAGCGCTTAAAAACTATATTAAAATCAACTACTTTAAAATATAATAGTTGACTTTCCCTTTGCTGATTTCATCAGTTTAGATATTAAAAGGTCTGGTGGTTTACTACATCCATCTCGAATCCTATATTCATTACAGAATATTTCAATTATGACTGTTATTTCCATTCGAATATAAATTTTACAATATTTATATATGATTTTAATTGTCTCCATGCGATATATTGGATAGCCAAATTTCAATAAAATATACCATAATGTCTCTTTCTTAACTGTGAAGTGCTTTATAACCAACCAACAAAATAATCAACTAACTAACTCCGTGGAGCTTGGTCCATCTTGAGAAGCAGTCAGTCGCTCAGCTATTCAAGAATTTACAAACAGTTTATTTAACATGAATTTTCATTACCGCGTTCACAACAGCCCTCCACTCGTCTCCATCCTGAGACAGATAAATCCAGTTCATAGAACTCCACCCTATTTTTTTCTCTAAGGTCCTTTTTAATATTATCCTACGTCTAGATCTTCCTAGCGTTTTCTTTCCTTCTAGCTTACCCAACAAAATTCTGTATAAATTCATCTTCTCCCCCCCCCCAGTGCATGCTACACGTCTTGCTCATACAACCTTACTTGACTTGTTCATTCTAATTATGTTACGTGTTTTATTGTTATTAAAAATTTGCAAAAAATAGTTCGTGCATCATCCTCTCATAGGTCTTGTGTTTATGATCTACCTCCCTGCAACTTCACATATGCCTTATTCAAGAGATTCATTATTCTGTCCATAATTGGAAAGCGAAATGCAGATTCTGCGAGCCCGCCATTTTATTTACTGCACATGCTGCAATATAATAGAGTTTCATAAAATTTGGAAATTTAAAAGACGACCACAAATTTCAGGACTAGGTGGAGCTAATACGGCTTTCACCTCAGACTTTCGCACAGCCGTCGTGCTGATTTAAATGGCTGAAAACGGTTAAAAGGCACACATGTGGGGCCGTCTGTAGCGGCATTATATCCTCACAGATTTTCATGAAAATTCGCCCACGTTTCCAAAATTACTATGAAAAAAGCTTTTCAAGTTCTTGGTGGAAAAGCCTGAACGCAAGAGAACTCCTGGAAGAACTAGACGTAAATGATAAGATAATATTAAAATGAATTCTAGAAAGGACGGAAGACTGTGATCTGGATTCATGTAAATCAGGAGTTGACGAGCAGCGAGGTCTGAAATAAGCTTTCGGGTTCGATAAGAGGTGGAGAATGTCCTACTAGGCTGAGTGACCGTTGCCCTCACAAGAAGTAAAGTAAAAAAAAAAAAAGTAAAGGGATCCCAGTAACAGGCCGTGGAGGCCCATAGGGTTGTGAGATGTTGAGGTTCCCACATTTTCTAGACAATCGGCTCATAGATGGCGGCAAAGTTGTCAGCCCTACGCGCCGGCCGCCCTTTACTCCCAAGAACATTTCAAGAATATTCCTGGTACTCATATCTGTTAGAGGTGGAGCCGACCCTAGGGCCATAGTGCGGCTGGAAGGATTAAGTCAACTAAAAAAAGCCAACGACCTCATCGGGACTTGAACCCGCGACTTTCCGACTTGTAGCGTAATGTCTCAACAAACTACGCTACCGCGTGCCCCCGCCTTCACAAGAAGTAATCTTTATAATAGGTGCTATTAAGCAGGTCACACACCTTGACATAGAGCTGCTGTTTTTCTTACGCAATAAGGAAAGTAGGTCAAATATAAAAAGTAACTCCAGACCTCCTACGCTTCTTTAAATTGCGTCAAATCGACGTAGTTAGACCCAATCTGCCCTTAAATTAAGCTGTAATGAAATAATGGAATCCATTAATTTTTATGAACACATATCCCGTTTACCTTCCGTGTGGAGGCGGCTTAGAATACCTTCTACCTTGGCCTGCGAGCGCAGAAGGCGACGAAAGAAAGAACCTGGTAATTATCACTAGGAGCACAGTCTCTGTGGCCTAATGGTCAGAGTTCCTGGCTACAGATCCAGAGTGTCAGGGTTTGATTCCCGGCGCTACTAGATTTTCTGAGAAGCAGTGGGTCTGGAACGGGGTCCACTCAGCCTCGTGAGGATAATTGAGAAAACCGAAATTAAAGACCGTGGGGATTCGTTGCGCTGACCACGTGATACCCTCTCTCCGCTAAAGTTGACACTAACTTCGCCGACAAGTGGCGGTCGCTCGGTCGGTATAGCTCGCTTGCGGACTACAACCATGGAGTTC